TGTTGCAGAGATCGAACAATAATCCTTCAATGAAAATTAGTATGACCATGCAGCTTCAATTTGAGCCTAAAATAAAACACAATGAATTGTTTTTTATTAAAGTCCAAATCCAAATTGTCCTAATTGTAATTGTTTTGAATTGTATTGAATATTTCTGTAAAGGGAAATATTCCTATTCGTGTTCAAAGCATGTCTGTAATGTAAAAAAGGGCTGGGACATATAACCAAATATGACTATTACAACTCCCATACCAGAGGTTTACAATGAGAAACCTGAGAATGGTTGTGTGAATTTTTCATTATCTTACTGAAGTTATACACTATTGTCCCTTTCAGAGGTTTCATTACAACAGATGCAAGTGAAATTGGATCTTCAGACATTAGTGACATTTCTTCAGACAATCTACAAACAACTCAAACATATTTCACTACGTTTTTTTTAAAAACTTTCTTATGCAGATTTCTTTTCTTCTGTAGATTCATTATAAAAATTACTAATTATTTATCCTAATTGTTTTTCAATGTTAATTGCTCTGTAAACTAGATTTCCTTTAGGCAAACAGACTTTCCCTGTACCTTTGCAAATGAACTGTGAGAATTTGCATTGTGCAACAGACTAATGAAATAGATAAAAAATGCCGCTTCAGCACTGAATGTTTCATCCTGTCCTTCACCCCGAAGAAGCTGCTGATCCTCTGACATTGGTCCATTACTGCAGAGAGAGAAACAGCATCTGCTCTGACAACACATCCATCACTGTTTGATTTTTGTTTTCATCTCAGCAAAGCCCAAACCCAGAGTTTCCACCACCGCTCACTGTTAATGGAATTCCAGTGCAACAATTTGTCTTCTGGAACCTTTTTCCCACCTATAGCAGCTCTAAATCCACCAGTGGAATTATCTTCAGTGAAAAACACCCAGATGATGACATAATCCAGCACTGGTAAACTACTGCATCTGTTTAGGCTAAATTGTGAAAAGATCGTGGTTTGCGGAATGTCGGAGTGTAGCCTGATTTTTTCTGGTTGTTTGACTTTACAGACACTCTTTATCCTAATAGTTTTATTCGGTGTTGTGTCAGTTACAGCCTTAATTGATCAATGACTGCCCTCTTGAGGCTATTCGGTAGATATTTGGCAATACAAAGTATTCTGTTCCCAGGAGTGATTTTATGTAATGTAGATTACCTTGATTTAGTTTCAAGAGGTACACTCTTCTAGTCACAGATTATTGTTTTTATTTGTTTGAATATGTGCTGACAGCACAACACAAGCATTGACTGGGGGCTGAAGAGACTAACATTCAAGATATAGTCAGTAATGGACAGGACTTAGACATAAACTCAATAGAATAATTACTTATTGTGTTGTGATAAACCTTAATGAAGTGTGAGCTCTGCCCTCTTGACTTCCCAGCCAAATGATTAATGCCCAGACTGAGCTGGAAAATGGAGATATAATCATTGCATCTGTCAGCCACAAAGTCTATTTAATCCACGGAGCTACATTAGGCTGCCGCTGCCAATCAATGAACATGTCTGCTTATCAGCAGATACTGTGGTGAGGAGATTGTGAGAGACACAACTTTGGAGCATCCTCCTCCACAAATGAATATCTCAATATCAATTAATGTGTGAGGGTAATTGATTTTTCATCATCTTATCAGGCCAACATCAACATAGCTGAGTGTCCTGAAAGGTGTCTCTTAATAAAATGTATGATTACATGTATTTTCATTACTACACATTTTTACACAGTATGCAAAATCTACGGTAAAACTAGAAAAAAAAAGCTGTTCCTGCGAAACAGCTGTGAAAATGCCAAAAGCTGAATGAAGAAAGCAGAAGAGTTGAAGGAAAAAGGCTGAACAGATGATAATTTGAAAGAGCTAAAAATTAAATGATTTTAAAAACACCAGAAGATGGCGACAGAAGATAAAAAAACAAAATCTGAAACAATCAGCAAACCAGGTGGATCCACTAAACTATCAGCAAAAGTGGCTCAGATACTCACACAGCTGACGTAGTTAGGGCTTAAGTGGGTCAAAGTTTATCAAAGATTTGAAAGACAGAAACCATCAGCACAAGACAGCATTGAGGAAGCAGAAGAAGCCAAAGAAAAACTGAAAAACTCATAGAGAAAAACAGACAGAAGACAGTTTGGAAATGATCACAATGAAATTTAACCTGTGTCACAGAGAACAGGAGCTGAAGGGTTGGTTAAAGTGGAGGTCTACCACAGAGTTGGCCGAGCATAGCCGGAGGCAACTGTGATCATATGAGGGCATTTAAACAACTCTGTGTGTTATTTCAAAAAGATTTCAGAGCAATTTCAGAATTAGATGAAGTATGCCCCCAACTTATCTCCATATGTCACACAGTTTGCAGGGAATAGGAAATTAACTTTACTGGGATGAACTAACAAAATATATGAACCCTTTATGCAAAGGATGACAAGCCTTGACAGAGGCGTGTCCATGACCATGACTAAGTGAGCACATGCATTATCAGCACCTACCAATGCTGCACGTTTAATTTTTTATTTAAAAAGGGTAAGGGAAAGTAGGCTGATCATATATCCAAAGCTGTTGGTGTTTGCAGGACAGTCATGGGTAAAAGGCTACCACCATTATCATGTGTAATGTTCTTGAAAAAGCTGGAAAGAGTTAGATTAGTTATGCGCTTGATCTACTGTTAGAAATAGAATCCCGATCAATTATCAAATGGGGATCTCACAAAAGTTATCAAGAGTTCTCAGTAACTAACACAGTAAGCCAGTCTCACATGGGTGTTCACAGAGACATTGGCAGTTAGGGCATTAATGGGATGTTTTTAAGAACACTAATGACTCATTTAGATCACTGACCAATTATTTCTCCTACCCTTGAGTTTTAATTGCTAGAGTGTACAGCCTTTTAATGGAGGCAGATGAGATTAATTAGGCTTATGTTTGAACTGTAAAAGCTTTGTTTGTTGTAGAGAAGGTCATTAACCAGCAACCTCGGGTAATGACATAACAAAAAAGACTCATTAGCAGCGTTCCCAGGAGTCATAGGGGCAAGAGAAGATCATTTTATTTGGGGTCACCAAGTTTTGTAGGGGAACAAAACACCCCCCTGAGAGTATAATTGTCAATTTTGTTATATTTTGTTGTTGAGTCCCTTGCCATACAAGTTTTTCAACCAGTATGAGAAGGGCCTCTTCCATTTGTGAGTACGATAATTAAGCACATAGTCTTTCATATTTCTAATCATTGTACACCTAAATATGATTATAATTGTATTCACATTTCATGTTTGAAAGTTGGAAATCAGTGTTTACAAGTTTATTCATATACAATCTAGATTTGTAATGTAATGTAAATTCAAATTTTTGACCATGTGATGAAGCTATATTTTATGCTGTCTAAAAAACAGGAATTTGGAATTTGGAGACCACCCATTTTATTGGTTTCATAAATACGTATAGCTGAGTATCATCAGCATTGAAGGGAAAATTATTGCCACAATATCTAATGAAAACATATATAAATCAAAAATAATTGGCCCAAGCACAGAAAACTGAAGAACTCAGTAATTTACTTGGTTGTGCAAGGAACATTGTTCGTTTACTCAAATAAATGTCAATATATTGGATATATATCCCTAAAACCAAATTAATGATATCTAATAGAACAAGCACATATATTGCTCAACTATTAGAGGTCAAGAGAAGATAGTTGGATACATTCACCAGTGCTGCTTGTGTATTGTTTATGTGCTAAAATGGCTCCACCTTTGACCTTTTTAAATTAAATGTCAGCCCAACAACATTCTTCTTTATTTTCAAAGTAATACTTTTTTTATTTACATTTTCACACAGTATCGTTGCTTTTTTAATATGAGATGCTCATGGTGTGTATTATATTAAAAAAATATTCAAAGAGAATTGTGAATAGGAAATTAACTCTGCAGTATGTCTTGAAACACCACGTCTGTGAAACATGTATTAAAGATTCATTAAAAGTGATAACAAGTCGGTGAGTCGGGTTTCGGTGCGAAACGTTGTTTTTTTGTGTGAGTTTTTAAATTCATCGTCAATACATGTAGGTTGGAAGCGTTTTTTTTGTTTTGTGTTTTTTTGCCTGTGAATCGGAACCTACTTTTGTCTCATCGGAAGTATTTTACGGTGACACTAACGTCCTTCGCTTAAAAGTGTCCTCCATGCCCTATTATCCCTGTCCGAGTACCTGGTTACGAAAAGTCGTGTCATGTTATGAAAGCCCTCTTTTTTTCCCTCGGAGCAGATTTTCTCAGTAGTAAAAGGTAAAACTAATTAAATTGATTTATTAACTCGATTTATCGGCATTAATGATTTTGACTATTATAGATGTATCCATAATGAATACATGTCTCCATAGGGGCTAAATGACCACAGTAACCTCACACAGACTAGCTCTCTAGCTTTCGACATAAGTTTCAGTTCTACATTCTGAATTGTACTCAAGTATATACAGTACTTAATGTTGTGTGCTATGTCTGCGCATTACTATTCATTTGTACTGAGTGGTGCTCATTCTTAATAATTATACATAGGCCTGTATATTTTATATTTTAAATTCTAACAGTTAAATGTTGAATAGTTGGTGGGCATATAGAAGCTTGTTTAAGAAGATGCCAGTATCTGCCATTTAACAGTGCCCTCGTCAGGTTTTTACATAATGGAAACGACAAAAGCTCACAAAATTACCATAAACGATAATCAGATGTACCAAAATACTAATTGAAATAATCATGGGATTAGGACAGTTAGAAAATTGACCAGTAGTTAGCAATCCAGGCAAACCACGCCGAGCTGTTTGGACCAGAAAACAGACAAAGACTAATTATTTAAGAATATATACTTAGGAGATATAAAGTTAATATCTGTTCAACAGTGCAGTGTTTGTACACTTAAGCAGTTATATCTGTGAATGTAAAAAAATCTTTTATTCTTTTATTTTATTTTCAGCTGTCTCCTTGAGTCGGCACCTTTCACACGAGCGAGATGACTTCCCCTTCGCCTCATGACCGCAGCCGGACAGACGACGAGGATGACCCCGTTGAACAGATGATTACCCGCACCGGCTGCGCTGAGCTGCATTATGCTGTGCAGGAGTGCATGGCTGAACACCAGGACTGGAGAGTTTGCCAGAAACAGGTCCAGACTTTCAAAGACTGCATGATGAATTTTCAAAATGCTCGGAAAGAACAACTGAAAAAGAAAATGCAAGCCTCCGCAGGGTCTGCACCCAGCTGACCCCAGATCTGCAAACACTGAGGTGTGCTCAGGACCTGAAAGAAATCCTTTGAGTGTTACATTATTATAGCATTCTTAATGAAAATAATGCCAGAGCAACTACATAAGTAAAGCTTTTAAGTGTGTTATGAAGATGTAATAAAGATTGTGTGATCATGTCGCCAATTTATCCCCTTGTCTTTTTATATGTTGATAAAGAGTAGTGGTACAAATGCATTCAAGAAAAAGTTCAGACCATTGTCTTTGGCGTGTAATTGATACCCGAGACAGTTGTGGGAAAGCCAGTTTTCATCAGGAAGCTGTGGCAAACGGTCCATCCCTTTGTCACTGTTGTATTTTAAAAATAAATATGATAGTTAAGTACCAACATAATACAAAATATTGTCTGAGTTTGTCTGATGATTTCATGGTAGACATGTTGACAGTTGTTTGTGAATTGATGTTTTTTCTTTTATTTAGTTATAAAATATAAAATAGTTTTTTTTTTAAACCATAATGGGGAACTTTTATAGCTGGCCTACTTTGTGCAACACAACCACACAAGCAAAACATTACCTAAAGAGGTCTGTTTGTGCATCTCTTGGATTCATTAAATCTGCTTTCTACAACTAGAATTTTGTTTTGAGCACAAAATAAGTTAATTAGAGGAAGGTGCAGATTAACTCTCCATGGATCACATTAGTGGAATGAATGGGGTCTTTCAGAGTGACTTTATTGGTTGAATTGTTAGATTTATCTCATGAGATCAGTAGAAAAATACACTTTAAACTGTATGCTGGAAGGATTTGCAGCCATTCGCTCTCTGCTGTTTGGAAGAGCGGCTGCTGAACAACTTAGAGTGAATTTCAGGTGAGCTGTCTTCCCTCAGTATATATCTCATACATGGTTTTAAATGTCCATGAAAGTTGTACTTTTTGTTCAAATGACATACAATTACTCCTTTTCTGAATAACTTTAACAACTGAGGCTGCAGAGATCAACTATGTCTTTCCTTAGGAATGTTTTCAACAGCTCTGTCATCATTCATCCTCCTGGCTTCTATATCATCGGATTTGAGACATTTCCTTTTATAAATATCTACATCATCTTTCTGTCCTTTGTTTATGTGGTAACAGTGCTGTTCAACTCTGTACTGATATACATTGTTACTTTCAACCCCTCTTTGCACACTCCAAAATTTGTGGCTGTCACCAACCTTGCAGTGATAGATTTATTACTTAGCACAAGCATTATTCCCAGCATGATAAAAATATTTCTCATTAAGGACAATTTCATTCCATTTAACCTGTGTTTTGTTCAAATGTTTGGATATTATGTGCTGGTATCATTGGAGTCATTTGCCCTTACTGTCCTTGCCTACGACCGGATGATTGCTATCTGCTTCCCTTTGCGCCAAAACTCGATCAACACAGTGCGAAACATGTGCTGTATTGTCAGCATTACGTGGTGTTGTGCTCTGGGAATCAATGCGTTTACAGTAGGTATAATGACACAGTTGTCTTTTTGTGACTCTGTGAGAGTGTTCAGTTATTTTTGTGACTATGCACCCGTGTTTCGACTTGCTTGTAACGATTATTCCATGCACTGGTCTTCAGCCTCTTTTCTCTCTATAATGCTGATTGTAGGCCCCTTCACTTTTATTCTTCTGTCATATATCAGTATCCTGGTGACTGTGTATAGGATGAAATCTGTGGATCGCCGTCTTAAAGCTCTGGCCACTTGCGTTGAGCACATAATCCTTGTTGCTATATTCTACATTCCTCTTTTTGTCATATTCACATATGGGTTTTATTTTGGAGCCATTGATCGAGACCAGCGAGTTCTGAGCTTGTCTCTATCGTCTTGCCTTCCTCCTTGCATTAATCCTATTGTGTATTCTTTGAAAACCAGTGAAATTAAAATCAGAGCACTGGCACTGATGAGAAAAAACAAAGTCTGTGTAAACAAACCAACAAAATCTAAAAAGATCCTAGAGATGAGAAAAGATTGATGATCAACACCCCCCCAAACTAGACATCAAGGTTAACCATTGAATCATCATTGTAAATCACCATAAGACCAGGAATAGATACAAACATTTCAACTGCTAAAAAACAATTTTCATAACTTTTGATCTTGACCCTTTAATCCACAAGGGCCAAGACCCAGAGAAATTATAAGGAATAGAAAATAGACCAAATTATCCCCCATTGATCACTTTAAAAATGTTAATCAGGCACCATTACAGAATGTCAAAGATCTGTGATTTCCAAAAGGTCCATTGGCAATTTTTGATAAATGCATTTTAGTTTGATTAGGTTGTTAAACCCGTGTCACTGTGGATTCTTATGGGTTAAGATTCCTTCATGTGTGCTTGCCTTGTTTAAAGAGATGCCAGTACCTGCTTTAAAACAGAAAAATGTTTACTTATCAGGAATTGATTTGCCTTCAACAGTTATCAAGTAAATTTCAATCCATTTGGACTTTGGTCTCATTTCTTTGTGAATGGCAGTAAACAAGTGTGTTGATTGTACCCAGTTTAAGGTGAATGAGCTGTCTTTTGTCCTTTGTTTAATATTCCACAAAGGCTTCTAACAAAGCTGCTCATAAGCCTTTTGCTTACTATATTTTCTGTGTTGTAAACATCCTCGACTTTGAATTTTTATTGTGTCTGATTTTCTTCTCATTGTAAAGTAAAACTGTGTGACCAAAGTGCTTTTGAATGGCGTGTTAATAAAGCTTTCCTCACTTTGAATTGTCCAGTTCCATTGTGATTTTCAAGATCAAAATCAATAACATGAGACGGAGATTGATAATGCGATTCTTAATAGATTTACAATTGACACTTTAATTCTAAGAGATCAAGCAGAATCTTCTTATTCTTTTTTTTTTTTTTAACATTTATCATTTATCTTGCATTATTTTCAGCATTTCAATGTGCTTTAATGTACTTTGACTTATCCTTGAAATCAAAAACCGGCCAGGACTAAAGACTGGAGAGACTGGAGTGCCTGACCTCTAGTGGCTGATGTGTACAGAAATATCACTGCTTTTGAAAAATCTAATATGACTCAAATACTATTAGTTTTATTAGTTTTAGATTCACTGACTGTCCACACATTCATCAAATTTGCTATCATAAAGATTAACATATGCTGGGTCACAAACTTATCATCTCTTCTCGACTCCAGCCAAGGAAGGGATGTTTCACGCCATTCTTTTAACAGAAAACACCAATGATTTATGTCCACATTCAGCAGCTCGGTACGTTGGAGAAACAGCTTGTATGATCGTGCTTGGTTGCACTTGTGTATACTGTATCTCTAAGAGTCTAGTATAAAATTAAAAAATCCACAACACTATGCAACTCCGTAATAACCTTTCCATTCTGTAAAAAATGATTGTGGTCCTCCTCTGTTGTCAGTGCACAGACACACAGTTATTTCAGTGTTACCCACTCACAGCAAATAGTCCAAACATCACCAAATAAAATGACATAGTAAATTACATGGCTGACTTTTTTACATTTTATAAACATCGTGTGCTTCTTTGACTTTTCATATTGAGCTACGGTATCATTTTGCTCAACCTGGTCTCATATCCGGCATGTACATTGTTGGTCTGGTCCCAGGTCCCTGTCTGTCCCTGACCTGATTCACTTAAATAGTGTTAGGGACAAGGTATACTGTTCTGACAGGTCTTTCATTATTGCCCCATCATCCCCATCCTCTCTACAGTCTACTTAAGTTATGTTTACTTTTAAATTTTTTTTTACAATCATATCGTTTATTGAAATAAAGTAAAATCTTAGGTCCAGGGTTTTCAGCCATTGGTTGCCTGAGCAAAAATTGGAGACTTGCACTGTAGGCCAAAATTCTGGTACTCACTAAATGAGCAGTCACAGCACTGTTTTTATATTTGTCTGAGCAATGTTAAAGAAGAGGAGTGAGATGTACAGAATCTGAGGAAAATCTGAGAATCAGCTGAGGGTCTATTTATTAGCACATTCGTAGAATCCGATATACAGAATGAACAAGTGGGAGAATCATGGCCAAAGCATAACCATTACAATAAAAAGACTTCTTTACATTCAGAAACTTTAAATGAAACTGTGGTCGGTTCCAAGTGGACTCGCTACTGGCACACTTCTACGCAAGGCAAAACAGGATTCATTTGTTTGGGGAAGTGTGTGTTGTGGACTTCCACTATGTTTAAGGCCATAGGCTATATTCACTATATATAAGACTGCCTGTGAGGGAAGAAATATTTACAACCAGGATTTAAGACGAATATAGGCGATGGCAAATTTAGATTAATAATTTAAGTACAACTGGAGGATTACAATTCTTTATACTGGAAATTCACAGAAAAGTAATAAGGCATCAGCCGTAACAGACATACATCAAACTAGCATGGTAGGCCACTTGTATAAGTATGTATTGTAGGGTCCTTGAATATATTTATCCAATTTCTAAAGAAGACCAAAACTGATGCATATAACACTATTAAAACCACTAGTTATACCTAATTTGACATCGACGATATTCCGTGTCTTAAGATCTGTAGTTCTTTGGGGGGGATAAATTCCCTTAAGAGTTTTGATTCGTTCCCTTTCATAAAAACTATCATTTGATTAACTCGTATTTATCACACATTCACAGATTTTGTAACTGTTATTTTGGTTCTTCCATTGATTTTCAATATTTTCTTCATTGATTCTTTGATTTCTTGTGTCTGCAGAACATAAATTATTGGGTTTAACATGGGAGGAAAGACTGAAGTCAGAGACAGATTTAAGATCCTGTTATTTGGATGTATTTTTTCCATCAGTGTGAATGTAATCAGCAATGGGGTGAAATAAATTACGACCAATAAGACATGAGCTATGCATGTTTTAAAGGCCTTGATTCCTTGTTGAACTTTGGCCATTTTCGCTATAGTATAGCCAATGCACAAATAACTTAAGAGGATAAAAACCAATGGAATCCAAAAAATTAGAACAGGATACAAAAAAACAACCATATTATTGGGAAAAAAGTCATTGCATGCAAGCCGATAAATCTGTCCATGATCACAGAAATAGCTGTTAACAACCACAGATTTACAGATAGAAAGTCTGGTGATGAGACCAACTGCAATGAGAACAGCAATGATAGTAAATAGCCAGAAGGAGGCGATCAAAGAAAACATAAACCTGTGGGTCACCGTCACTTGGTAGTGGAGAGGATAGAGGATGGCAACCAGTCGATCATAGGCGAGAGCAACCAGGTTAAAGGATTGCATTGAAAGGCAGGTGTAGCAGAAAAAAAGAAATGTCAACCAGTCATTGTAGGGAATTAAGCTATGGTTAAAAAGAAAAATGTCAAGAACTTTCGGCACCAGAGCAGAACTACCAAACAAGTCCACAAATGCAAGGTTAAATACAGCAACGTATTTTGGAGTTCTTAGGTTATGATCCAGATATATTACAGCCATTACAGCTGTGTTTCCCA